CCGAGGCGCACCTGGGACCCGGGCCCTCCGCCGCCACCGCGCGCCGCGCGAACCCGCGCCGGAGCCGGGCAGCGCGCTATATGGGCGCGTGCGGTATCCGGGGGCGGAGGCCCGGCCCGCGTCCTCCCCCAGCCCGGCCCGTGCCCTGCCCGCCCCCCAGCCTGCTCACGGCGGCACCCTCACCCATCGGCCCCCACCCCTAACCCGCCCCCGACCCCGTGAGCTCCCCAATCTGGGCAGGTGTCGGTGGGCGGGTGCAAGGGAGCCTCGGCAGCCCGCTGCCCCTCCGCTGGGAGAAGGCGAGCTCCTGTGTGTAAGTCCAGCTTGGTCGTGGCCAGGGCCAATCTGGGGACGCTGGTCGTTTTGCAATGTGGAAGTAAGGGCAAGCGTGGGGGCCCTGGGGGCCTGAGGCAAGAGTTCAAGGCTGGAAACCGGGTTCTCACATTGCCCTGCCACATCTTCTAACTCGAGTTGGAGGCAAATCTGTCCCCTCCCTAGTCCTCAGTTTCCTTATCTGTGCAGTGGCATGATGGGCGCTCTTCAGAGAGGGTGGTTGAGGATGAGCTGAAGGGTTGGAGACAAAGCCCATGCCTGGCAGGAAACGGAACGTAAACCCCTTTCTGTAGGCCGCACTTTGTCCTGGGCATGGGAATGGAGGAAATCCTACTCTGCAAGATTCTGAGCTCTGGTGGTGAGGGAGTGGGGAGAGCAGAGTGGGAGGTTGAAACTTGCAGCCCTGCAAGCCCTCACCTGGGAAGGGCAGAGAAAGGAGCTGGGCAGCAGCAGCACCGAGGACAAAAAGCTGGGGGCCCTGCTCGCCCAGGGCTCAGGAGGGCTGGGATGGGCAGAGCAATTGCCCTGGGCTGGGGAACACCCACTGCTCCTGTTTTTCAGGTGAAGAAACTGAGGCAGGAGGGAGAAAGGGACCTACTCCTATCCTGCCCGGTCCCCTGGGGATCTGGGGTCAGAGAGAACTGGGGACTGTGAGGCCAGAACATTTGATCTTCAGATGGCATTTAGAGAAGGCCTGGGGTTTCTGTGGGAGGAGCTGGTGCTTTGGTCCTGCCTCTGCCCACAGAACCCATGCAGATCACCCCACAGCTCACCGAAAAGTCAGGAGCAAATCCTGCAGCCCCCTTGCTGTGGGAGTCCTAGCAAATCACTTGCTCCTCTGAGCCTTTCTCCACTTGTAAAATGGAAAAGCTGGCCCTGCAGATGGAGTCTGTGGGACTCCAAGGACAATCTCGGTGACCAGGGAGGAGAGATAGCCAGAGAGGAGTTAGTGGCAGGCTCCCCACCCAGCTCCTGAGAAAGGATGGCCGGTGTGTGGCAACTTCTGCCTCAGAGCAACTCTGTGCCAGAGAGGAGCCTCAGGAAGGGACACCAGGAACTGCGCCCCCACTGCTGCCGGGAGTGAAAGGATACGGGGCTTCTCTGGGGCAGGGTCCACCTGGGGTCCCAGCAGCACAGACACAAGTCTGAGCTGGGGCCAAGTGGGTGGGGGCTGGGCTCTGAACCCCCTCTGCCCCCTCCGCCAGGGCCCTCTGTCCCAGGCTGGGGGCCCATGGATCCATTGTACCCACATAGGAACTCAGCTGCTCACCCACCTGCCCAGAACCACAAACATAGACCCTGGCGGCCAGCCGTCAACCTGACAGATGGACACTGGAGACACTCTCACATACATGCAGACTCGGATATCTCCAGAGAGACAGCACACACCGGGCAGAGACCCCAAGACCCAGAGAGAGGCCCACAAACATGCACAGCCCACCAGGCTCCAGCTAACAACCCCGGGTGAGCACCCAGCCACCGCTAGATAGCGGGACACACTCGGACCCCACAGGGTCTGTCGCCATAGGCCTAGCTCCTCCCATCAGCGGCCCAAGGAAGAAGAGGGGATACCATGATGGGAGGGCAGGTCTGGGGAGACCCCTGGCCACTTCCTTGCCCAGAGCAGTGGCTACTGGTGACTCCGCAGGGCAGGCAGTGGCCGGCCCAGGCCAGAGGAAGGCACTGAGGGGGAGGCTGGCCATTAGAGGCCTGGGCCCGGGCCCTCACTTACAGAGCGGAAGGAGAGCTCTCACACCGGATGAGGGTGCACGGTGGGCACGGGCTGGGGTAGGGAGGCTCCGGCCGCCCAAGTGGGGCAATGGTGGCGGTGGGCGCGCAGGAACTCCTTCCCACCACAGTGGGCGGCGGGCGGACAGCAAACTGGCCCTGTCCGTCCGTCCTCCTCCTCCTCCCCGCCGGGGGGGGGCTACCGGAGGCCCAATTGGTCTCTGCCCCCACGTGACTCCGCAGGCCTCTCTCTCCTCCTTTGTTGGTGTTTCTCTTCATTTAGGTCTATTTTTTCTCTTCTCTTAAAAGGAAAAAAAAAAGAACTACCCCTATCTATCTGGGGGCCGCGGGTCGGGGCAGAGGCCAAGGCACTCTGGAGGCCTTGGCCAGCTGGCTGCTCCAGGCCGCTGTGGGAGCCCAGAGGCAGGGACCCCACGGAGGCGGGTAGCAGCCCGCTTGTTAGTGACTGGGTGGGAGTGGGACCTGATTTATGGGCTGCTCCCCTAGCTGGCCTGCAGCCTGGCCTCTCCCCCCTTGAATGGCTTCCTCCCTGGGACCTGGCCTGGCGTGGTTCGGCTCTGTCCAGACATGGGAGTGGAATCGGGGCAGGCAGTGTGGAGACAGGGGCCTGGATAACCCGACCAGGTGGGCTGACAAGATGGACCAGGTGGTCCAGGAGGCTTTGGTCTGGTCCTTCACTCTTCCCGAAGACGAAGAAAGGAACAGCAGGGCAGAGGTGAGTGGGTGAGATGATGAATCCTTCATGCGTGCAATCAACATTGGCTTCTCTGAATGTCACCATCTACCATGCCTTGGATATCCTCAGTCCTAGTGGGGAAACTGAGGCTGGGCTGAGAATACTTCTGGAGCCAAGTGGTTGGGTAGAGTGGCCCCAGGCTGGACCTAGTTGTAGCCAGGTCAAGACCGAACTGGGCGGGGTGAAGGGGGTGTGATCCTGAAGGCCAGGCCACCCTCCCAGTCTTTGCTGTGTCTGTCCAATCTCCAGGTCCTGTCAGGCCCAGACTGCTGGGCCCTGTACCTGTTCACGCGCAACTTGCTCGCCATTGCATTCCCTTTTCATGTCATACTGGCTTCGTGCTCTAGGTGCCAGGCACCGTTCCAGGCCCTGGGAACCCCACAGTGAAAGGCAGGGAGGATGCCTGACCCAGCTATTCGTCCGGAGGTGAGGAGAGGCACAGGGACACTAGGGACCGGACACTTCTGAGAACCCCCTGCTGCACTCTGGCCCACACCCACTCCTTCATTTGAGGAAAAGGAGAAGATAATGCAAAACACCTCACGTGCCATGAGAAGGGTTTTTGTTTGTTTATTTTATAATCAAACCAACTATATTTAAAATCTAGTATGTGTTTTTCTCATTATGGTACTAATTTTTTAAAATGTGAACATATAAAAACCAATTCACTGACACTCATCATTTATTCTGATTATATGCTAATTATACCTACAACATTACACACAATTTATTTCCCAACATACATGGTCTTATAGTCATGTCTTTTTCACCTACTACAAGATGTACTTCTAAAGTCCCCACTTTATTTTTATTTCATTTGCTTATTCCTCTTTTAGTTTCCCATTTTTATTATTTACTTTTTCATTTTAATTCAGTGATTTTGTTTTTGAGTTAAGGACTTTTATCACTCGTTTAACAAAGAAATATGCCAACAAATACTCCATATCACCAGTATGTTAAGTACTGTAACAACAAAATCATGGCCCTTTGCTTGTCTTTTGATGGGAGCTTTATGAAGTAGAGTCCATTTTTCCTGTCTTCTTAGGCAAGACAAATGTCCTCTTTCAATGTCGCAATGCCATAGAAATAACCGGCTGGGTTCCCGTGGTCTCCTGGTGAGTCCTTGAACTGAGAAGTTGAATCACTGGCAGACCATAGATCAAATCCCAGTTCTGTTACTTCTGGCTATGTGACTTGGGACTACTCATGTCCCCGCTGTGGGCCTCCTGTCTTCCCTGTACGGTGGGGACAACATGAGGCAGTACATGTGGCATGCTCAGTGGCTGCCTGGTGTGTCGTGTATGCTTTGTAAATGTCAGCAAAACACAAATAACCACCGGCTGCATGCCTGGTTGGTCGGTGTGTGTTGAGTTTGCAACATCATGCTGAATACCGCCTGCCCTTCTGTGATGGGTGACTCACCTGGGGGGGCTCAAGGAAAGGCCCGATTTCTTTCTGGGTCCACAGTGGCCAGAACAGAACAAACATGGGACAATGTTTGTTGAATGACTGCTGCCCCTGCACTGAAGGCCCAGCCCCGTGTGCTGCCTGTGGGCACAGGGCTCTGCTGCCTCCTCCTCTGTAGGTGCCCGCCTATCACTTGCCACCATGCAGACTGGTGCTCTTCATCCCCTAATTATGCTGGATGTCTCCACGACACCCCCTTCCTCTGGGCTGCCTCTCCCCTACCCTCAGTGGCCCTCCTGTACTCCAGGGGGATAGGGACAGGAGGGGCCAGGCACTGCCAGCATGGGAACGGCTGGCCCTAACTCAAAAGCACCCACTGTGTGTGGGGTCCACTAGTAACTGCTCCTCTCCTGTGGTTAGTCTCGAGCCCTCTCTAGAATCCCAGGGTAAGAGGAGTAGTCTCCCCTCAACCCCATGAATAGCATTTGAGAGATGAGGACTTGAGCCCAAAGCCAAGGGGTGATGGCCTCAGTGTTCGAATCTAGGCAGTGGGACTCCCGAGTCTGGGCCTCCAGGCTCAGACTGCAGAGTCCTGGGTGGCCTGTCCATTTGTCCTTTCCTTCAAATTCCATGGCAGGTGGTCCCAGGCCATGAGACCCACCAGTAGGACAAGGGCTGTAGTCCTGCCTTGGGCTCCCCCCACCCTAGGCAAACAAAGCCCAGGATCTCTCTCCTGAGCAGGAACTTCCCCAAAGTGCCAGCCTTACTTCCTGGAGGTAGAATAAAGGACAAATAAATCAGAGATCCAGAAACTGAAACTGAGGGGAGAGGAACAGAATTATTGGGCTGCACTAGGGGTCCAGTGTAGAGAGACAGCCAGAAAGAGAAGCTATAGAAAGACTGAAGCAGAAAATGAGAAAGAGAAAAGGAAGACCCATTGATAGCAAAACAGACCCACAGGTGGGCAAGGAGAGGGCATGAGAGAAATTCATCAGATCAGAGACACAGAGAGAAGCAGCAGAGAATAAGAAGAGAGGGGCAGGGGCCCTGGGAGCTGGAGGCAGGGTGGAGGGGTGGGGGGTGGACTTAGAGACCCTGCTCCCCGTTCCGGGCAGCAGAGGGGGCGGGCCTGCTGGCAGCAGCAGAGGCTGTTTCCGCTGCACCCCTTATCAGCCTGCTGCCAGATGTTCAGATCCGATGCCAATGTCAGAGAAGTCCATAGTGCTGGGTCAAGGCCGTGGCCGGTGGGAGCCTCAGCTGCAGTGTGGGGAGGGGGGCCGGAGGCCTGCACTAGACCTGCACACTCTTCCCCCTCCGCCTGTGGCTCTCCCGGTTGGACCACCTGGTGGGGGGTGGGAGAGGCCAGGTGCCCCTGGGGGCCACTTCTCTGGACTGAGAGCAGGGGCACTGGTGGAGGCTGAATGGGGCTCCTGGCAACACGTGGACACGTACATCTCTGCACACCCCCACATCCGAGGAAGCACGTGGACACATGCATACAGGAGTGCACAATGCCACTTGGGGACAGCTCACCACGCACCTCTCTGCACCCTCCAGCCTGCTGGTGCCCCTGCCCCACCCCCAGTCCTCTCACCCGAGCTGAGACTGCAGACAGAGCTGGAGGAGCCAGGGAAGAGCCTCAAAAGGCAGGAGTGGGGCCCCTGGACCTCTAGATGAGGCCTGTCGGAGGTCTCCGGGACAAGGCAGGTGCTGGCAGCTGGGGGGGCTCCAGCCTTGGGCCCAGGCCTCTTCATGCTCCTGGAGCAGGCAGCGCAGCTGGAAGCCCTTCCTGGGTAGCTTATCTCACAGTGCACACGCTTGGCCCTCAAGGGGTGACCCAGCCTTGCTCCCCACATTCCTCTTCAGCCATACAGTTGCTGGGCCCCCCACAGCTCTGAGACCCGCCCTGCGTTTAAGGAGCGGTCAGGAGCCACCGCTGAGAGTCCTCTCCAATTTTTCAGCCCCTTTCCATTGCAGCTGTGGCTGGTGTCTCTGGGTGCTCTCTCTGCTTTATCTCTGGGCATCTAATTTTGCTTCTGTCATGATGGATCTGTCACTGTTTACTCCTGTATCTTTTGGATTGTCCCAGTTTAATTCTCTGCTACTTTCAGTTTCTTTGCTCTCTTTCTCTCTCTGGGGTCCTTGAATGGAACCAAATCTGGGGAAATCTCTGCTCTTCCTTCTGGCTCACAGTGACCAGCTTCCGAGGGTGCAACAACTCAGGCCATGGTGAGGGGACAAAGGGCCTGGGAAAGTGGGGGACTGGCATGGAAGAATTGGGGCAGCAGCAAAAATTCAAGCCCCCTTTCACCCACCTGCCAGGAGTCAGCCTGGATAAGGACATGATCGGGGCCTGGAGCTGGGGGCTCCCCTATGTACTAGAGAAGACTAGGGGGGCAGGGGAGGAAGCTGGGGCTGGAGGTCTTGGCCTGTGGGCCTCCTTCCTGTTTGCAGGGAAGTGACTGCCTCAGAGAGCTGCTCCAGGGAGAAGAGGGAGGCCATGGAGACTTCCGGGAAGCTGGCCAAGGGCCCGAGGCCACCCTCCCTGTGCCCACATGGGGCCCTTTGGCCCTGGCTTAAAATAGTGCAGCGCCTCCACTGCTGCTGGGCCCAGCCTAGGCCTCAAAGGGCCACAGGCTGCCACTGGTGCTGGCAGCAGAGGCCTAAGGTAGCGGGGTCCACCCAACTGTCCAGCCCTCCCCACAAGGCATTTGCAGGCTGTCTTGGCCACACGTGGCAAGGGGGCTGATGCAGTCAGAAGTCCTGAACCCATGTCTCAGCTCCAACACTGACCAGCTGTGACTTTGGTATGGTCCTTGCTGCCTTCAAACCTGTTTTTTACTCATGGAAAACAGGGTGGGTGCCTGACTATCCACCTAAACCTTGGCAGGCAGAAAGTGGACACTCAGAACACCAAGTTCCCCTTGCTGCTCCTGGGATGTGCCTTGAAACCCTCACCCTGTGGATGTGCCTCCTTAATGCACCCTAGTGCCTACAACCGCTCCTAGGGCCAGGCTGTGAACAGAGGTTTGTGGAGAGGGAGCTTGCTAGTAGGAGGGCAAGGATGGGGCTGTGGTCTCCATGGTGAGACTTGTTGCCAAGGGAACAAGACTCCGAGAGCCCTGGGTCTGGCAGTTGGGCACTTTTGGCACAGGCTTGGAGAGGCTGCCTGCCACTGTGGACATGAAACCCTGATGGGCAGCCAGGCCAAGGCTAGGCTGAGCCTGAAGGGTGGCTCTGGGCTCTGCTGAGCTTGTTTTTGAGGTGCAGGGGCAGCCGCTCCCAGCACACAGCTTCACGGAGCCCTAACTCTGAGCCAGCCACAATTCTCTGGAAGCCCTTGTGCCATTGGGCACCATCATCTCTTCTTACTGACAGGGAAAGTGAGACTCAAGGAGTCTCATGAAACAAAGTCGCACCAAGTGGGAAGAGGAAAGATGTAATCAGTGTTAGTGAGACGCCAGGTGACATGCCTGGTCTCACAAGCTGCCAGGTAGGACTCCACGTGCAAGGCCCAACCTCAGCCCAGCACCTCCTGCCATCCACTAGCTACAGACCCTTTGGTGATAAGAGATAACCTGACTTTGCCCTGGGTTGGCCTAGGGAGGCTCTGAGCACTGTTAGGAGTGCTAGGAATAGGTACTCAGTGCCAGTTTTTACTAGCTTCTGAGCTCTCATTAGTTCCATAACCTTAGGCAAATTATTTCCCTTCTCTGGGCCTTGATTTTTTTAATCTGTAAAATGGGATCACTATAGCATCATTATTTATCATGTTGCTCTGGGCAATCAGTAAGCTAACCCACAAAAAAATGACCACAGTGCCTTGCTCTGTATTATTTCAGTGATGGACAGAACCTAGGGCCTTGTGTTTGCTAAGCACTCACTGAACTGCACCATTGGCCCAACTTTATAGTTCCTTATTTCTGGATTATTGCCTAGCACTCCCAAGAAGCCAAGAGCTCAGTGTTACTTAAGTAGCAATTTATAAATGTGAAGCAGTGTCCTAAATTTTATTCCATGGAATATCATCTCAATAGAATTTGAACACCAGGGAAAAATGTCCAATGCTCAAATAATTTTGGTAGAACCTGTGCTAAACAAAATGAGTTTTCTTCAGGTAGGACTTTCCAGAGTCTTAAAATATGCCAAGGAGGGCGGGGATAAGTGGGAGGACAATAGAGTGCAGCATTTCCTACATTTTTGGCAGCTGAACTGATTTTTTTTTTTTTTAATGAAGAGACATTGGATGCTACAGTCTGAGAATTATAGACTTAGTGTCTGCATTCTACACGTGTTTGGTACAGAACTGCTCAGTTCAACTTCGCTGGGTCTGTTCATCTGCTTTACATAGAATTAACTCTTTATTAGTTTCAGAGTTTTGTTTGAATACACAAGGTTCAACCAAAGGCCACTCTTGTGCTTTGTTACAAACCCCAGATGTACATATTCACTATTGAACTGTAAGGCCGAGCAGGGAGGAAGCTGTTGTAACTTTGGTATCAGATAGACCTGGATTCAGAAGCTAGTTCTGCTTCTTGTTCGTGCATCCCAGCAAATGGCTTCATTGTCCTGAGCCAGTTTCCTTCATTGTAAACTGGGGCTGAGCCTAAACCTTGCGAGGTTGTTCTGAGAACCACAAGAGACGCCGCCAGGGAAGCAGCAGGCGGTAACCAGCACGATCCTTCTCACACCTCTGTGCATCTTGTCCCTCTTGTGGGGTGGTGAAGACAGCCTATCGCTCCTTCTGCAGCGGCTCCTTTGTTCAAAACCACCTCTTTCAAGCCTCAAGGGCTCTCTGGTGCCGTGTGCTGGGGGCTGAGGCGTGGAGAGACAGCTGGTCACACCCTCCTCAGCCTTTATCTTCCCAGACTGCAGAGCCACTGTCTCCTGCCAGTCTTCATCCAGCCCTCAAGCCAACTCTGCCACTCTTGAGTGTGTGAGCAGTCACAGGACAGTGAGCTTTTAAGTTAGGCTGATCTGGGGCCAGGGATTTAGCTCAGTGGTGCTGCACCTACCTCAAAAGAAAAAGGTCCTGAATTTGATCCCCAGAACCTAAAAACCAACCAAACAAAAAACAAAAAAAGGCCCATCTGGAGTTGAGGCCCAATTCTGACACTGCCTGTGTGATCTGGCCATGTACCTTAATGCCTCAGAGCCACCATTTCATTATCTCTAGAAAAGCTAGTGAGACGTCATGTGCTTTGTGGAAAGCAGGTGAGACCACAGGCCACGAGAGGCAGGCCATGCCCAGCACACCACGGTCAGGGAGGCACAGCCCTTGTGAGCCTCAGCAGGTGCTCTCTCTGGGAGCTCCCAGCCTCTCTCCAGCCTCAACTCTTGCTACTCCCTCCCATTCTCAGTCAGGTCAGGACAGCCCTATGTACTGAACACTCCTTACCTTTCTCATTCATTGTCAGGCCTCTGGACATGCTGTTGATCCTGCTACCGGATCTGACCTCCTCTTGGCCTGGGGACCTGCTTCCAGGGCCACCTTCAATACCACTCCCCTGGGAAGCTCCTCTGGACTCTCCCCAGCACAAGCCACTCCCTCCCTAGGCCTTTCCTCTGACATCGCTAAGGTCCACGTGCCTCTCCCAACAGACTCCACCCCTCAGATGTACCACTTGGTGGCCGGCTGGTCATGGGTGAGTCCCTTTACCCTTTGAAGCTGTAGTTTCTTTGTTTATAAAAAGGAAGACATCATCCTCGAAGTTGAGGAAGGCCTGGTTCAAGAAAAGCCAACACTGCCTGGCCTACAGAGCAAGGACTGCAGTCAGAGCTGCTCCACCGGGTCACGAAGTTCTGAGAATTGTTATCTTCTGCCAGTGCCTTAGCCATGGAAATCGATGTGGGCATCAGCACGAGCAGGGGCACCTCAGGATATCCCACTTCCCCCCCTCAGAGCCCCAGACAAGCTTCATAGCCAGATGCGTGTGCAGGATTCACATTTATTGGTTCAATACAGTACCTAATACTTGCTAAACATGCATTTCACACTAATTAGTCACATTTCCACAGGTAGTCAATTCACAGAACAGGGCCCATCCCTTGCCAGCAGGCAGGTGTGGGAGGTAGCAGAGGGCCTGAGTAGCCTGCAGAACCCGCCAACTACCATTTGGTCATGCAGGGTAGATGGAGCCAGGCTGGCAGGCAGCCCTTGGCCGGCCCTTTGGGAACAAGGGCTCAGAGACATCCTGTTCACCCGATTCCTCCCCAGGACTGTGAGTGGAGGTGGACCCGGGTGGGCAGCCCAGGGCAGGCTCTCGATGCAGGTGCCATCAGAGCCCCCAAGGGTAGTGCTGTGGGAGGCATTGCTCCCCATGCCTGGAGCTCAGGAGGGAGCTCTTCAAGGGGGTGGCCTGCCCCTCACTGGGCATGTGGGAAGGACTCCCCAGACACAGCCAGACATTACAATGCAGCCACAAGCCCCTATCGCAGGCCTGGGATGGCAACACAGACAAAAACACCAACACCCCAGGGCAGGCAGGGTTTCTTTCCCGACAGAAACATGTAAACATCGCGGGAGCTGCAGTATTCTTTTCCCACAGGATTCCTCTGAGAGGAATCAACCAGGATGTTACTTGAGAGGTAGTTTTTTTTTTTTTTTTCATGGAAATTTGAGTCAACAACATTATCACTTATAATAAGACATTTCAGCAAAGAAAACAACGGTCACCAAAGAGCAAAGAGGATCCTTTGGCCGGCAGGGCTGGCTCCAGGATTTGGAAGACTAGCCTCCGCCAGGATCTCAGCATTTTTCTTGGGCTTGGAGCAGGCTCTGGCCTTCCTCCCAGCTTCCTTTCAAGCCTACAGCTGATTCCTGAGCAAGCCATGGCCCACTTAGGGCTGCAGGCCCAGAAGAGGGAGGTCAGATGGAGAATGGACTGGGCGGAGGGGCCAGGCTTCTTATGCGCTGGCAGAGGCAGGGCCACCAAGGCTCATGTTGCAGGACAGTCAAAAGTCTTCAAGTCTCAAGGTGGCCCTGGAAGGCCAAGAAGAAAGCCAGCAGGCTCTCTGGGGCTCCTGCCTCTGAAGGAAACAGTCTGAGTTTGGCTCCCAAGCCCAGAAAAGCAGATGTTGCTTACAGCAGCCGAGAGAGGGGTTTCTGGGGACCCTGTAGTTAAATACACATCCCTGAGCTGTGGCCCTAGAAACCCTTGCCTCAAGACTAGCCAGTTTCCAGCACCTGGTGGGATGATTGCCGCTTTTCATCCTGAGACACAGATGAAACATCATTTCACAGACACTGGACAGAGATGCTTCCAGCTGAAGAAAAAGGAAGGGATGATCAACTGCAGAGGCAAAAGGGAGTGAGTGGTGATGGGGGCCTCTCATGGATCAAGGTGGGGGAGAAAGGGTAGTGGGGCTTTTTTGGGGGTTATTTTTGTTTTTTAACCATCAATAAAGAAAAATTTAAAGTTTAATAAAAAGGACTAGTCTGAAGACTGAAATTTCTTAAAAGCAAAAATTTAAAATGCAACAAGGACAAAACACATAGATCAGGCATCCAAAGCTAAGAATTTGGAACCACTGCTCAAATTCCTGCCCTGCTGGGAAGCCAGGGTCTCTTTACTCTGGCCAATCTTGGTCATAGCTTAGATGTTGCCCACACTGATTTATCTGTCTCTATCTGTCCCACTCCCCAGGAAACCAAGAACAAGCAAGTGTAGGGAATGGGTAGCAGAGCAGGGCAGCTCGCCCAGAGGGGCCAGGGTTTTAAAGATCTGGTGACACTGACCATGGCAGATACTCACTTCCCTGAGAAGTGGGGCAGGGCAGAGGCAGGCTGGTGTGAAGTGGAGTGGCTTTCGGTGTCTCCACAAAGATCTCTAGGCTCCCCCTATACTTGCTGTGGTTCTGGGATTGGGACAGGAAAGTTCCTGCCTGCTTCTTTCTACCCCTGGAGGTTGGCCCACCTCTCTTATAGGCTAGGCACAGGAGCTGGATGTCCTCTGAGCTAGATGGAGTGCTTCAGGCAGGTTCTGGGGAATTTCTCCAGAAAGGGCCAGAGCACCACACCTTGCAAAGGACTCCACTATCTACAAAGGGAGCCAAACAGCATGAATTAGAGATGAAGCTCCAGGAATCCAAACTATTGTCTAGGGTTAAGAAAGTGTCCAAGAATAATAAAGGAAAGGAAAAGCTTGCATGTTTCAACGTAGTGCAAGGAGGTGGGATTCTCCTTTTCCACACAGCTTTCAGGGTCACATTTTTATGGTGGAAAACTCACTCAAAGTGAGTGCTTTTGGTGGCTAGGATCAGAGAGAGGACAGAGGAATTTGAGACAATACATACAACTTTTTTCTTCTTCCACTAGCAAAAAGGCTGCCTGTTAACCAAACATTAATGGCAAAAACCAAACAAGCCAAACCTCCCCCTCCAACCTTTCTCTGTGTCCTTCAAACCAAATTCACAAATACATCTAGTGGCTGACCTAATGTCTCCACACTGCTAGCTACACTCCTACCTTCTCCTCATAATACCTGAGTTTGCAATGCAACACATTCACTTTACCCTGTTTAAAAGAAGCCCACATCATAAAAGGACTGGGTGCAGAAGACATTAAAGACGGTCCACAGGTCAGGCTCCGGCTCAGAACACACAGCCACTTGGCTTAGAGATTCTGCAGGGCTCTCGGCAATGAATGGGCTCTTTGTTCTGTGGAATCTGCTGCAAACATTTGTAAAAATGGATCTGTACAATGGCAACTTGCAGAACCTTTCCCCACTCCACAAATTAACAACTTACTCTGTTTAATAATACATGATCGGAGAGACATGGTCTTGCTTAATCAGAGAGCAATTTCCTTTGACACCCAATACAATGGGTAAAATGCTTAATTTGAAACATAATTTCAAAAAATAATAATTTGATAGGTGGAGGTCTAAGCAAGGAAAGATGCTACACACAGGAGCCGTCTTAGAGAAGGGGTCTCTAATGTGTGTCTCTTTCCCCGTTTGAGGAAAGCAGCTCAGAATCTAACCTGTGGCCAAAAAATATGATCTCGTTGGTTAAATAAAAAATTCAGAAAAACAAGAAAAATACTGTGAACTTAACAAATAAACAGACACACACGAACACATAAATCTTCCCATTGCCATATGAAAAACGTGGTAGTTGGAGCTTTTCCTGAGGAACATGTCTCTTCTTTCTTTCTTACAACAGTTGGGGAAATGGCATTGAGGAGTAACACTTTGAGTTTTAGATCCAGCAAAGGACAAACATCACTTCTTTGCTGGTTGGTACCCGTAACATTTCACCAAAAAGAAAAATTATAAACAGAACCAGACTACCCAGTATGTGCACACTGTGGTGGTCACCTGGATAGGTTTACTAGGCTGAGTCAGGGGAGAGCAAACAGTCTTTGACCAAATAGCCAGAGGAAGTACTGTGGGCCCCTCAAGCCCTCCCAAGGATGCAACCACTGCACAGTCTGGCTGGAGCACTGGCTGCCAGAGGTGCCCGAGTGTGGGTGGGAACAAATGCTGCATTAAGGCAGAGAAGGGAAAAGCACCTGAAAGAACTCCAAGACAGACATGGTGTGGCCCTTGCCAAAGTCCAGAAGGGCAGGAGCACTTCCCAGGATGACGTGGGGCAGGCAGTGAAAGAAAAGGGGTGCAGGCCGAACCTGCAGAGGTAGCAGACAGGCCCTTAGGAATATGAGGTAGTTTAAAAATCCCCCTTCCCAGGCTGGGGATTTAGCTCAGTGGCACCGAGCCTGCCTTGCAAGTGCAAGGACCTGAGTTTGATCCCTGGTGCCAAAAATAACCCCCAAAACAAAAACCCTGCTTCCCTTCCAGGTGCTTTAGGCCCCAGCCCTCCAGGCCTTGGTGGTCCAGGTACTGACTCACAAATGGGTAGCTGGGCTCCTCCAGGCTTTAAGTTCTGGGGCCTTGGGAAAAACGTGGTCTCACTGTGGGGAGATTAGGAGAACCTGGAGTAGGATTTAGGAGCAACATTTCTGGCCAGAAGGGTGAATAGTCCTTTCCACTATTTACAAAAGAAATTAGCTTTTAGAGTCCTGTGGGTGGGGTGGTGGTAGTGGGGCAGGGCATTCCAAAGGAGGAAGTTACTCTTTCAGCAGCTTGGCCTTCATCTTACTACCCTTTGAAGCAAAGAAGTGAGAGAAGAAGTGGGCATCACTTCATCAGTAGTGGGCATCAGGATTCAGAACACGGCATTTTGCTCAGGTTTTCAAAGGGGTGAGAGGAAGTCAAACTTATAAGGGAGAGGGAAGGAGTCTGAGAAGGGTAGGTCTTAGAAGATCAGGTAGGAAACTAGGTAGCTGTGAGCCCCAAGGTAGGCAAGTCCTGTGGATTGACTTATTGCCAGGTTCTTGTTGGATGAACAGTTGACAGTGGCAGAAATGGACAGGGGTGCTGAAGGGAGAGGAGGAGGGCAGCAGAGTGTCAGAAAGAACAGAAGCCTTTTGCCCTTAGGTCTGACCTGCTGAGAGGACACCTGTTTTACATCTGGTCCCTGTGCCCTGCTCTCAATTCTCATGCTTTCCATTGAGATGGCTCAACCCTCATCTCCTGTTCCACATGTCTTGCCCATCTTGCTTAGTGAATCTCCTGCCACCACTTCACCCCTTTGGTGTATTCTTTCTTGACAAGTATATGGCTAGAAAAAGGCAGTTTGCTCTCTGACAGACAAATATATAAGTCTGCTGAGAAAAAGTGGAAATTGTAGGGATGGTCTCACCCCCATTTCCATTGAGGTAGTCATCTTTGTCAACATGGAAATAGTCATCTCAGCCCATCCCACCCTCTCCCTCAAAATATAAAAGAACTATCTCTAAACAATGACAACACTGTAACATTAGACATTTTCACATTCTGTAAACTGCAAGGAAATGCATCTGCTGCATTCACACAAAAGCATGTGCATCATGTTGAAGGCCATACATTCAACTCTGTCGTGAAATAAATATATAGAAAAATGAGGTTAAAAAAACAGACAAACAAACAAAAACTCTTCTCGTTATGGAGGTTAACTGCTCCACGCCTCCATCTTGGTCTCCGGCTCTCTCCTCCTGAGCCTGTCCTGCCTACCCAAGGCTCTGTGGCGCAGGGAACAGGTCACTCCTTGACCACACTTGTCTTGCAGGAATGCAGCACGACCTTAAAGAGGAGGGGCAGCTGCTCCAGGGGGACATTCACCATCTTTCCTGGGAAAAGGTGGGATAAGAGGAATTAGCAGTGGCCACTAGCAGAAGGGTGAGCCTGCCTTCTCTTGGGCTGGCGAAAGGAGACATCACTGGGGCAGGAAGTGCCAAAAGGACTGTAAAGATCAGACAGGGCTGGTGTCTACTACCCACTCATTGTGGAGTCAGGAGGCTCATATCATTCTACTATCCATGAATACTTGCTGTGCTAGGTGGAAACATTACCTCTTTTAATCTCTTAATTTTCCAAGAGATAGATGCTACTTTTTATCTTCACTTTATAGGTGAGGAATCTGAAACTGAAAAGTATTTCTACCTGGCCCTCTTAGAGCTAAAATACCAGAATTTCATATTGTCTTTTTTTTCCCTAGTAGAAACTCTAGCACTAAAAACAAAATAGTATAATAGGTTAATAAAAGTGTTGAGGGGGGAAAGGTCACGGGGCAAAGAAATTTGTGAAATTCAGGGTTAAAGCAGTTCATAGGTTTCTTTATTGAAGGGCTCCTCAGGTCCTTTAGTGTACTGATATACTTTGTAAATGGCTAAGGCTGTGCTGCTTCTCCCTGGCAGTAACTTACAATCACCTGGGGAACATTTAAAAAATACTGATGCCCAGGCTCCCCCTCAGACCAATTATATCAGTGTGTGAAGGCGAAAAGTGAACACTAATTTTTTTTTTTTAAGTTCCCAGGTGACTCAAAGTGCTGTCAGGACCAGTTCATGCAAGACTGCTCTGTGGCCCAAGAGGTAGGCAAAAAGCTCCCGTCAGATTCCAAGTTTTTCATGTGAAAACTATATTGCTGAATTTTGCAGGAACAATCCTGGTCTAGAGGTCACATTTCTGAGCTGCCCCTCAGTATACACTGGACAGCTAGAAACAAGAATCTTTACTAAATGAAGTAAAACAACAACAACAACAAAAAGCTAAGATTATGCAGTAAAATGGACCTATTAAATGTCAAGAAGCTCAGAAAGGGTCAAGACCACACACAAAGACATACCCAACACAAAAAATTGTTTTCCAAACATAGGATTTTAAAGATAACACTTTCCATGATTCCTGAAAACTTAATCCTAGGAAAGGTTTTTTTTTTTTTTTTGGTACTGGGGATCGAACTCGGGACCTTGCGCTTACGAGGCAGGCAGTGGAACCACTGAGCTACAACCCTAGCCCCATATAAAAGTTTTTTAAATTGAGATATAATTTGCATATAAAATTCACTATTTTAAAGTACACAATTCATGGGCTGGGGATGTAGCTCAGTGGTGGAATGCTTGTCTAGTGCTGGGTTTCATCTCCAGCACCACACTCACACAAAAGTATACATACATTTCAGGAGATGAAGTTAATTTGAGATTTTCTGTCTTCCCATCCGTAGAATGTTAATATGACCAACCATCAGTCTTGCAGAGATTGTTCTGAGATTACATAAGGCCACAAAGTACCCTGTACACCATAGGAGTTTAGGTATTGTGTACTTCTCTACAAAGAACACAAACTTCTCATTATAACAGAACTTCTCTGAGGCCGAGGGCAGCATGTTTTTATGCCGGTGGCCATGGGCCTGGAATTAGCCTCCTGAAAACACTGTTTCACAAGCTAAGAGAAGCAAGGAAGGGATGGAAGCCCAGGACACAGAATGTTACCTGCGATGTATCGAATCTCAGGTAAGCACATCATGAGATCAGGAAAGCGGTTGGGCTGATGTGTGTATTTATATTCAGTGAAATCCTGGCAAATGTACCAATATCGCTTGTTCAACTGTTCCAGCTGTGAGGCACTGGTCAGACCCCTGATATCTGTGGGGAAAAAAAATCACACAGAGAATGGGAGGGGCTTTCTAATGTAGAAAAACACATTCTTGAGTACGTGCATCTTCCAATTAAAAGCTATTAAACATGGTCACAATAAGGGATCTTTTTTTGTTGTTTTTGTTTTGGTTTTTTTGGTACTGGGGATTGAACTCGGGTCCTTCTGCTTTCGAGGTGGGTGGTGGAACCAAGGAGCTAAATCCCCGGCCCTAGGGGATCTTTTATATTTCTGATATGGAGGACCTAAACTCTGGATAAAAGAAGAGAAATAAGAGAAAATATATGTATAAGGACAGCTACTAGACTTTAAGGCCAGGCTGTGTCTCAACTTCACACTCAGTTCTCAGCACAGGGCACAGCACAAAACAGGTAACGGTGAAGGATTAACATGTGAATGATTAACCTACCTTTCCAAATTTATCTTTCACAGTATCTTTGAATTTGCCTAATGCTGGAGCCAATCAGAAACCTTGCTGATATCTACATGTTCATGCATGCAAAATACATACACAACACCCAAAAGACACACACACACACAGATCGTTATGCCTCTCTGTTCTTATATTCTATGAGGGCTGTCCCTCTATTTTTCTATATAAATCTTCCTCCATGTATCTATCTCTATACATTCATTTTATATGTAGAGTATGAATTAAAATATCCTCTATATAAATTTTACCCGGGCTCAGAGGCCCAGCTCAAATTTCTCCTCCTCCAAGAAGTCACTATGAGCACCTCCTCTAAAGAGGCGCAATGAATGTGTCCAGTGCTATCAGAATGTGTACTGCTCCAGGAACCTGGGGTCTAACTCCTTTTCATGTTGCGAGCGCTCAGCATAGGGGTTGGCTTGGGGGAGGCATGTAGACACCAGATAAATACATAAACAGTGCAGAGGCTGGAGGAGGAGGTCTGGCCAGCATGGTGGGGGGAAGAGGAGGGAACCAAGAGTCTCAGGACTGGCAAACCGAGCACAGGAAAAAACTGCTTTCAGGGCCACAGACACCAACACTGCCCAGCTCCACTCCAGGAGTAGAGCACTCCTATGTCACTGGAGAAAAAAGAATGCAAATCCTCCTTCATATGCTGGTTACCAGCAGCTACCAAGTGCCACTCTGCAGGTAATGTTCCACATAAATCACATCCGGCACTCTTCTAATTAAAAACCATGCTTGACATGCATGTGAGTTTTTGTGTACTGCCACTCTTCTCAAAGGGGCGTCAGAACTACTGCCAGCCTGTCACAGAGGCCTTATCTCCAACGGCTTCATCAGTCACTCTGCTCTTCTTCAATGACTGGTAAACTTGGTACATATTTTAAATGACGCATGTACTGTCCTTGGTGTCTGTGTTTAAATGCATGAAAACTGACTAAACAAAGTGAATCCTCTTCCTTCCTCTATGAGTTACAGAGATTGTGGCATTTAGGTTTCGAGAAAAAATCGAAAGCATTCCTGCACTGTAAAGGGGCAGATGATGACAAGGGGGGAGGTTCAGGCCTTCCAAGATTGGTAGTCACATGGTGTGACAGGTTCTGCAATAGTCCTGAGGGAGGGGTGTATGTGTGTGTACATGGTTATGAAACAGGAGGGGAAATGCTCATTGGTTAAAAAAAATATATATATATCCCTTTTCCCCAGCCCACCCCAGACACTCACCTTGATTTAGGAAGTTAATGGCTTTCATGCACGCATACTCCTCATTGCTGACCTTTAGCTGGTGGAACTTGTGATACAGGTAGATGAGCCGCTCGATTACCTCCATCCCTTCATCACTAAATCTGGGGAACAGACACAGGTTTCACCTGTGGGCTCTGATATCAGTGGAGCTCAGGAAGGGCAGACAGAAGGCTCCTACAGCTTGCTTCTAAAGGTGTCTATCATAGGAAAGAGGCTGACCTTGGGGAAACAGAATCCACAGGCAGATCCATGGGTTGTTTAGGGCAACTACAGCTCGTGCATACTTGTCTTGAGGTCAGGCAGAGTTGATCTGGGCTCAATTCTAGCTCTATTTCATAAGGCTGTGAGATGCTGTGAAGGTCATTTGACCCCTCCAAGCTTTGAGGTCCTCTTTGCAAAATAATGTGTGCCTGCTTGGGCTACAAGAGCCAAATGAGCTTTGGGATGTAAATGTGGAGAAATATGACAATATTAAGATACTTTTTTGGGGGTGGTATTGGGGATTCAACAAAGGGCCTTTGTACTGATCTACATCCCCAGCCCTTTTTCAAAATTTTGAGACAGAGTCTCGCTAAGTTGCCCAGGCTGGGCTTGAACTTATGTTCGGCCTTCCTCAGCCTCCCAGAGTGGTAGGATTACAGGTGTGCATCACAATGCCCACTTTAAGATACAGCTTTTGTTGAGATGCAGCTGCCATGGTGACTCTATGTGAGCCTCTGCCACAATACTGAAAAGGCTGCCAGTCATTTTTGTTTAGGTTCACTGTTTCCAGCAGGGCTGAAGTTACACACGATGAAAAATCTTCCTGACATCCCTGACTTCAGCCAAGGAGGGAAGGAAACAGTGAGACTCCGTGCCATGTTAGCCTCTGGTGGTACTTATGTGGAAGATCTCATTTAAATCTCTCAACCCTACAAACTGGGTGAGGTAATCACTACCACTGTAAGGATGAATGGGCCGGGGATGTAGCCCTGAGTTCGATTCTTGGTACAAAAAAAAAAGTAAAGATGAGAAACTCAAGTTGAAAGAAGGCAAGGGACCAGCAGAATTAGAACTTGGAACCTGGGCTAACTCCTTAAGGGCTTGGTTTTTTCAAGGTCTGAGGCGGTGTTCTGGCCTGTCCTGGCAGGGAGGGCTCAAAACTGACCGTGTTTGTTTCTTTGGTTAGAAGTCAGCTCCTTGGGAAGAGACAAAGTTTTAGGCAGAGGAGCCCCAAGCTAGGACACCCCCGCCCCAGGGCCTAATGCTCTGGGTTGCTTTACAGCAGAGATGGGGACATCACCAAACTGAGGAGGTAAGTGATTAATGGGAAAGCAGTTTATAAACGCTGGGCTCAGGACTGGCCTGAATCGCTGCAGGAGTGAGTTTGACCATGGCCTAAAGAGAGTTCTACATAGGCCTTAGATGTCAGCTTAGTCATGAAGAAGCTCGGCTCTACAGCTGCTTCCTGGTGACATGTTCAGAGCTGGGCACCACAGCTTTATGCCAGGCCAAGCGAGCCCTATCTGGGCAGGGCTCAGAACACCTGAGAATGCACTACAGATTTCTAGACTCCACTGCTTTCTGTGTTAACTCTGCAATTTGGCTTCCTGGACAAACAAGATACAGTATTTTCTCTTCCCTGGAGAAGCCTTGCTCTGGCTGGGGGCAGAGGTGTCTGTACTTCTCAAGGACCACCAGGGCCACAGTAGCAGGTAACTGTGACCCAGAACTCTGAGCCCTCGGCCACATGGCACGAAGCCCAATTTGAGCTAGGCTTCTCGCAGTTCGCTGACTTGAGCTATGATGGCTGACTCAGTTTCTCTCTGCACCTGGCCCAATGGTTTTTACCCCTTTACTGATACTTTCCCATAATGGTTGACACACAAACTCATATTGATTATGTGCTGAGAGTTTGCAACCTGCTGGGAACTTTATTCTACCTACATGATATCTCAATGGATAGTCTTAATAAATAAAAAAGTACATTAATCACATGTTTTTTGTTCACATGTGGAAACAAAGGCTCAGAGAGGTTATTTATTTTGCCCTTATTATGTACATAGGTCCCTTTACATTGCATTCTTACAATTTACCTTCCTGATAACTATAACATAAGTAATAAAACCTTTACGTTAGAGGTGAGGATACAGATAAAGAGGTGGCTTCTCTAAAGTCACACAGTACGTAAGTGCCAGGGAGCCCAGGTTCAAACCTAGACTTCCTAATCCCAACCCCAAAGTATTCCCCTGCACCACATTGTCCTTGCCCGATCCTGCCATGCTCTGAACTGCCCACTGGGACAGGCTTCCACATGCCACTACAGGCGCCAACCTTAGGAGCTCTGTGTTCCACACCCAGGGCCCTGCATGTGTGTTGGGTGCCTCCATGATGCTAAGATCTGCAGGTGGCAGTGTGAGGGGAGTACAGGTCATGCCAACATTGCACTTGGCTGGCTACTTATGCTCTTGAGAAGAAAAACAGGGCTGTTGGGCCAGGGGTTTAGCTCAGTGGTTCTGGCGCCTGCCTTGCAAGCACAAGGTCCCGAGTTTGATCCCCAGTACCAAAAATAAAAAGAAAAGAAAAACAGGGCTGTAGCCCCAATTCCCTTTAGTATCTACGTGGAAGAGTGGAATGGGGCTGAGATGAAGTGGGGCAAGGGGAGAAGCAGTGTCAGCATCTGCCTGGTTGCTGGGTACACAGCAAGGAAAGATAATGCTGTCCCTCATCAGCAACCTCTCGCCCCAAGTGCTCACTCTGGCACTGCAGAGCCTGCAGGTGTGTGGCTGTCAGCCAGATCCCCACCAGCAGTGCCAAACCTGTTCCTGGCTTAGGTCTTGACCTGAGGGACACAAAAGAGCTCTCAAGTGGCTGGCCTATACATCGGTGCCAGATCTGCTCTTTCTCTTGGGGACAGAATATCTGTCTTTTCCAAATTTCCTTTAATAGGCAGCTATCCTGGACCCCTGGCATTGGTGGGGGCTGGCAGCCAGCCGACCAGCCCCCACTCAGTCTCCACAGCTTGACTGCAGAGCTTTCCTCCACACCCGCATCCCACCCTTTGATAAACAAAGTTGTTCTCTGTTCCATGGGCCTGCTTTCTCCTGCAGCCGTGCCTCCTCCACATCTGCCCACTCCACAGTTCTGATGCCACTGTAGTCCCTGTCTGCAAGTTATCAGCATTCAAAGCCATAAAGCTGGACAAACACACTCATTCTTCTTCTAGGTTCCTATCACACAAGCATGCTAGGGGCTAGGAAAACATTCCTGCCAGGATCCCCCAGACCACTGGACCATTCAGTCAGCAATTGAACCTGACACTATGTAAGTTATATCCCACAAAGGGTGAAGAGGCCCAGTTGTCTCTTTCCATTCATTTAAATGCATTTTGTCCAGCAGCAGTCAGCTTCAGCCTTAAAGGAACTGCCATCTTGGCACCCACACAGATGGACAGGAAGTCAGACTGCAGCTCTAGGACCAACTCCACAAGGTAAAACCTTCTGAGAAGACTCTAGGGGTGCAAGAGTTCACTGTCAGGGAATGGTAAAGAGCCTGCATTTTGGAGCGCAATAGACCCACGTGATGGTCTGAACTCCATCTCTTTCTAGCTTGGTGGATTCTCATTTCTATCACAGGAATCGTATTAACGCCAGTCTCACAGGATCGCAATGAGGACTCAACAAATAAGCTATGTGAACCACTTACAATGGAATTTAGTGCAATAAGTCCTCTATAACTGTTAGTTATTATCAATAGAATTAGTACCATCATTATTGCTCCCATTACTGCAGCAAAAGACAGTATTTACAGGTTTAGGGTATAGCAGTTTAGGGTCCATGCTGGGAAGGGACCTGGCTAAAATGCAGCTAGTGCTCACAAGTGTACAAGTGCCCATTAATGTCCACCTAGCTCAAGGTATCTCCCTCCTGGAAGTGAAGGAGTGTTGATTAGGGCCAGGAGCAGTCACTGGCTGGTGCTACAATCTGCTTTAAATCAAATTCATCCAACTCACTGTCTGATAACAGTCCGATTAAGGAATACGGGCACCATAAATTTGATTGAATATTTGAGAAGAGAAAAGGAGGTGGTCATGCATCATCTGGGAAAAGGCTTTCCCTGACAGCAGGCACTCACACTCAGGAGTTGTGCACAAGTAAAGGCCACCTGGGGGAGTGGGAGTAACAAGGCGCAAGTGAAGCAGGAAAGAGCTATGGCTAATTACTGGCTCCACACCCTGGGTTTCTAGCAGAGGGGAGACTTTCCAGGCACTAACCTCCCTCCAGAGGCCGTGATTTCCCAGTTTCACACTCACCTCAGGCTTCCCAGACACCCCAACCAAACCCAGAGCAGCTCATTGCCCACCGTGATCTCCCCAGGCTCCTGGATCTTGGATGAATGGGTCTGTGCCCATCTGCTGAGCTAGTTGAAGACCCAGCAGTCACCCCCAACTTCTCCCCCTCACTGACAGCCAACAACCTCCTTGTCAATGCTTAGCTTTGTGTGTCCTCTCTATTCCCACATCACTGCTGCCTGGTCCAGGCCTTGCTTTCTTTTAGTTGGCTGTGAAGAGCCTCCAACTCAGCTACGGTGCCCTAGTCTTGTCCATGCCAATTTACCCTGAACTTTACAGTCACAGAAATCTTTCTAATTACATAATTCTTCCACACAAAAACTTCCTACAATATAAAATAATACTATTTATAACATCAAATCCAAGTTCTTTAGACTGGCACTTGAGCCCCTTTCTGAACTGTCTTGACTGTACTCTTCTCTCCCACACATGATGTCTTTATACCTTAGTCTCTAGGGTTGCTTTTGGATCTCTGCACATAGCATTCATCTAGGACTAATTCCTAGGACTTTTGTGCTACTCTCCTGCCTTCCATTCCCTATAATGTACCCAGAGACTTCCTACTTTCAGGTGCACTTCCAATGTCTGTTCCTCTATGAAGTCTTCCCTCATTCTGTAAGTAGAGGCTCTCACTCCTTAGTCTGCATGCATGGTCCTTCATATACCCCTCAATCTCCTGTAACAGGACCCTGCCCTGCAGGATTGGATCTGTTTCTATTTGCCTCCTAACTCTCTCAACCAAGACTATGGGCTCTCAGAGACAGAAACCATTATTTATATCATCTGCAATCCCACCCTCCTCCCCCAAACAGCCGTGGATCAGAACTAACATACTGAAGTTCAATTCTTCTTTTTCCATTGATGGGTTCTACAGCAGAGAATCCTAACAACAAATCCCTTTTTTAAAATCCTCAGAACCTACTTGGAGTTCAGCAGAAAATGTATTCTAGAGTCAGCACTGTTAAAACTGGAAAAAACTGGGGCTGGGGATTTAGCTCAGTGGTTCTGCTGCCTGCCTCCCAAGTGCAAGGACCTGAGTTCAATCCCCGGTACCAAAAAGAAAAAACAAACTAGAAAAAACCTATTTGCTCTATCCAGTATGGCATCCATGAGCCACATGTGGCTATGAGCATTCGAAATGTGCCTAATGCAAATGAGGAAATGGATTTTTTTTTTTTTAGGAAATGGATTTTTAATTTTAGTTAATTAAGTTTGAGAAGTCACCTGAGGCTAGCGGCTACTATAGGGACAGTGTAGCTTTAGATCCTCCTTTATAAGGAGACATTCTAGGAAGTAAAGGTTTCCTCACTAATTCAGCAGGTACTGGCCCCTGCCTTCGCTGACTCTGTAGGCAGCCCCAGGCAAAAAGGGGAGCCAGCTGGCAAACTCTTGACAATATCAGAGCAGGGGGTATTGCTATCCAAACACCCACTTAGCCCAGAGTTATGGAGCTGGAGACAGGACTTTGATGGAAATAATGAATTAGAGGCTCTGGACAAGGGGTTAGGTTATCTGCAAAATTAGACAGCTCTGTTTATAGGACAAAGAGTCAGCTGGGTTCAAAACTGTCATGTATAGATCATCCTGAAGCCAGCAAGCACCGTTAATAAGGAAATATTAGAACAGCAGGGGACAGGGTCAGCACCCAGACTCCTCCCTCCCTCGTTGTGCAAAGGGCCTGGAAGGTCTCAGAGTTTTGCTTCCGGCTTGAGCCTTGGCCTTCTTTTTATGCCATGAATGGGGGGAAGGAGATGTACCCCAGTCCTGTGAAGAGAAGTATGAGGGGTGGTATTCCACCCTCTCCAGCTTTCATCCATGTGCATTTTTGCTTCCTCCCTTCTGGGTGCCTTGAAATCCCTTGACTCCCATTATTTTTAACTTTTTTTTTCTGGTACCAGAGATTGAACTCAGGACCTTGCACTTGCAAGGCAGGTGCGGTGCCACTGAGCTAAATCCCCGGCCCTCCCATTATTTTTAAGATGTCCAATAAAGGTGGTTTATTCAAATTGTTTATTTAAATGTGAATTAAGCTATATAAGACATTCCATATGAATAATATCGTAAGCTAGAAAAGCTATCTCAACAAATCATCTCTCTTGATTTTTGGAGTCAGAAAATAGTCACCATGTGCCCCAGGTCTTCAAAGCAAGTGACTAAAAAGTGCTAGGAGAGGCCATGGCTGCCACAGGGAGGAAGGAAGTCAGCCTGTTCTTACCTCTAGGGAAGAAAGAAAGATGCTAGTCACTGGGATGAAACTTTAGAACAAAAAATGGACAAGAGAACCACTCAGCCTCTTAGTTCCATGCTCTTGATATCTCGTCACATCTCAGATGCCATGAAGGAACCTAAGCTTTGCAGTTAGGCAAGTGGAAGCTTGAACCTAGGGTCTGGACTCAAATCCAGGGCTCTCTGAATTCTAGTTTTCTTACCCTTAAATAGGCACAAAGACCTATAATACTGGACACTATGGCAATGATATGAGACAATATAAACTATCTAAGCTAGTGCCTGACATGTAATAGTACCACAAAGCCTCCTAGGTCTCTTTCTTGGATTATAAACTCTAGTTCAGAGCCTCTCTCTTGTAGGCAGAGTTTAGATTTTTGTTTCTTCCGGATACACTGCCACATCTCACTAATCTAGAAGTAATAAAAACAATAGCTTAGCACTTTGCTAAGTTTGACTGCACAATGTTTGTTCCTCACAACCACTTTTGGGGGAAGGTATTGCCATTATCCCATTTTCAAATTCAGGACCTGAAGATGAGAGACATGGCCAACATCACATAGCAAGGACCCAAATTCAGGTATGCACAGCTTAATGCCCATCCTCTGGAGAACAGGCTTGTAGGGTCAGAGTGGTCTGGTTGCCTGGGATTCCTCCCCAGCCAGCAGCCTCACCTGTGCAGCTCTTCATCAGAGGGTGAGTACTTGGCGGTGACGTCAGCCAGCTCCCCAAAGATCTGCTTACTGTAAACTGTGAGGGATGACAGCAAGATTAACTCCTGCCACGTAGAGCTCAAGAGGCACGTGTAATCCTTGATTGAGAGCTCACAGAAGAAAGGCAGCTTCTTGATCCAGGCAATCTGCCTAAAGAGCAGCTCGTCGGCCAGGCGGCAAAGCAGGGCAAACAGCTCTGCCTGCGTCACAGCATATCTGGGGACGGGGAAAGTCATTCCCATCAGCTGGAGGGTGAGGACAGGGACACAAGAAGCCACCCCTAAAGGCACAAAGTGTCCCTGGCAGTGAGGCCCTCCCCCCTTGATCATGGATCTCCAGTTTCATTCAACTCAATTTTATTTATATTTTTCAGTACTAGAGATTGAACCCAGGACCGCACTGAGTTACATTCCCAGCCCATTTTGTTTTCTTTTTTTCAGTGTTGGGAATTAAAGCCAGGACCTTGGCATGCTAGGCAAGCACTTCACCACTAAGCTACAGCCCAGCCCTTGTCCTTTTTCTTTACTGTTTATTTTGAGACAGGGTCTCATTAAATTGCCCAGGCTGGGTTTGAACTTGAGATCCTCTTGCATCAGCCTCCCAGAGTGTGTGTGTGGGGGGTTCACAGATGCACCACCACACCCAGCTTCAATTCAGTTTTCTTTTATTTTCGCCTTTTTTTTTGGTACTGGGGATCAAATTTGGGACCTTGCACTTCCAAGGCAGGCACCAGAGCCACTAAGCTAAATCCCCGGCCCCTTCAACTCAGTTTTCTTTTAAGAGGGCAAGACTGAGGCCAGGAGCAAGCTCAGGGAGGCAGAGGTAGGTTTGGTAAGTAAAGGATGCTGGGGGAAAAGGAGACTTAGAAATTTGTAGAATTATCAGGAAAAATGACTTTTAATGTTGGTGTCCTTTAATGTTCCATGCCTTAGAGAAAATTCCAAGTCACTCCTACCCTAGTTTTGGCCATGACAACTCCAGTGGGGTCAATGTGGTGCCCACACAATACAGGGACCAGTGCAAAAAACAAGCAGCAGTGGGGCCAAGGAACAGAATGAGTTTCAGCAGCTTTCCTGTTCTCACTGCACCGCCTGGTGGTGAGTTTAGGAACCAGAGTTGCTCTGCCTTCCCCTAAGCTTACAGCTGGATAGAAGAAACAGCATTTCTCAACTCTGGCCTGAGGGGGGCCTCTGAGGCCACAGACTCATCTTCTTCCTTCAGCTTCTTCCTTCCAAGGTTCCTTGGCATCTTTCTTACACCCCTGTTTCAAGATATGTAAAGGCTCTGTGTGGTTTCTTGTGGGTAGATATCTGAGTCCCCTCTTTTGAAACTAAAGATTAACTTAAAAAATCTCAGGATACCTTCTGGGAGGTCTAAGATTGATAACATTCAAACAGCTTATGCTCTGTGCTCTGGGCTCAAGGGTGCAGCAGTGGGTGGGCCTGCCAGCTGAACTACAACCTTCTCAGGTACAGGCAACTGTAGATTCACAGTGGCTGTACCCACTCAGGCCTGCACCTAAGGGTCACACGCCACCAGGCCACCTGAGGATGCTGGCTAGAGATGCAGACAGATGCATTAGTTAGGGCCCTGAATGCCTTGTTAAGGAGCCTAGACTGGAGTATGATTATCTCCAGGATTATAGTTCACCTCTGGCACAGAAGCTCTCAGACCCATCCTAGAGCCTGGGTTACTTAAGCTGCCCATGCACAAACAAAGCCCCTTCAAACCCAATTCCACAGGAATGAAAAGAAATCCCAACTCTATGAGAAAAGATGATTAAGGGAAAAATGATTACTGACTTCACAGATGACCACATATCTGTCACCTGATGCTTGCATCATCATCCATTATCGCCCCTGTTTCATTCCAAAGCCCGGGGTAGACTAGCTGGGGAAGGAGGTGGGTACAGGGTAGGGACATTTTGAGGTTGCAAGGGACCAAGCAGGGCAGAACTCACTCACCCATCTTCGATCAACATGGGTGTGCCTAGTGGCTCCAGGTCCTCGGCTGACATCAGCTGGTGAATCAGACTGTATGACTGGGGGTCCAGACTGCGAGCTTGTGGGGGCAGAAGTGGTGAGTGGCCGGAATAGCTAAAAAGGTGCGGTATGTATTGATAATGTGGAGGCATAGACATTCCCATGTACTGCTCCCTGAATGTCATGAATCCATTTAATTCCACAGACCTATTGGAGAGAAAAATCTGGTCAAGCAAAGCCTTGGCAAGTCTAGTCACAGGACATGAGCCACTAGGTAGCTTAGGCATTCTTTGGCCATAAAATCAATGTCACATCAAGCCAGGGAACATAATCAGTGGTTGCATGCTCATCTCCCCTACTACACTCCCATTTGTGAGACAAGGACTCTGGGTAGGTGGCATGAATGTAGGGCTCACCATGGACACTCAGAGCCTGCCAGAGTAGGTAATGAATAAATACTGGTTGGAAATCATATCTGAAGAGTTTCTGATGGACACTCAAACTACGATGACAAAAGTGAGTGTCTGTATTATTTTACTGGTAGGAAAACAAAGACACAGACAAGCTAAGAGTCTTGCCAGGCCACCTAACAAATCTAGCACCTAGGAATAAATGTGGCATAGAGCCATAATCCCCTAACTATTCAAAGGATCAAACAAACTAAGGAACACCTGAACGGAATAAAAGCAGAAGCAGATTTAATTTAATTTCATTAATTTACGTGTCTCCGGATTCTTGGAGAAATCTAACCACTCTGGCAATGAATTTTAAAAATTGTATACTTTTTACCTAGATATATTCCTATAACTAAGTTTTACAAACTGCAGCCTATAGGCCAAGTTGAGCATATAGCCTAGTGAGGGCGAACCTTTTAGAGCTTTCAATGATACAAACAGCCCACTGCAGCATGTGTGCCATAAGTTTGCCACCACTGCTATAGCCTGTTCAGGTAAGTGAAGTTTTACTGAAGCATAGCCACACTCATTGGTCTACATGTTGTTTGTGGCTGCTTTTATTCTCTACCAATGGCAGAGCTGAATAGCTGAGAAGCAGAACATTAGGCCTGAAAAGCCTGAAGTATTTTACTGTATGGCTTTACAGAAAAAGTCTGTCAATCGTATCCTTGAAGAAGGTTCCTGGGAAGAAGCCCTTCCTTGGTAGTAAGGGTTCCATTTTACACCTGACAGCTATATTAACATGTCCTGTTTGTCACACAGTTTCTCTTACATGAGAAACCCAAAGTATAAATAATTTTAAAAGCAAAATAGCTGGGCATGGTAGCACATGCCTGTAATCCCAGCACTTGGGAGAGGCTGAGGCAGGAAGATCATCCCAAGTTTGAGGCCAACCCTGGGTGCATACTGAGTTCAAGGCTACCCTGAACTACATGGTGAGACCATGTCTCAAAAAACAAACAAACATGGGGATTTAGCTCAGTAGCACTGCGCCTACCTTGCAGGTGCAAGGTCCTGAGTTTGATCCCTGGTACCGCAAAAACAAACTAACTCAAAATAATGGCTAGACAATAGGAAACAGGGAGAGATCTTTTGCAAATGGGAAGGGGACCCGGGGAGATGGAGGGAGGGGCCGGGGATTTAGCTCAGTGGCACCATGCAAGTGCAAGGTCCTGAGTTTAATCCTGGTACCAAACAACAACAACAACAAAACCCACTTTTATTCACTCTATAGCTACCTTAAGCTAAATCTAGGAAATTAAGTTCAATCCACGGTACCAAAAAAAAAAAAAATCTAGGAAATTATACTGGGTTGCCCAGTATTCAAAATTGAGTTAAATCTGAGATATCAATACCTTTTCCATTTTTTCATTTGGTATACTTATAATTTTAAGATCCAACATTAAATGAGCATAGTACAGAAAGATCTTTAACTTTCAAAAAAAAAAAAGAGATGGAGGGAGGAGGGAGGGAAGGAAAGGGAGGGTCAGGGAAAGGGACATAAAAAGAATTAACATGTATTATTTTTTAAAATGCCATGCTTGTACCATGATCTTTAAACTCTGCATACCCTTATAGACCAGCAAATTTGACTGACTTCAAAAACTTTCACTGTTTTTAAAAATCTGTAAGTTGAAAAACACTGATTCTTGCAAGGCAGAGAAATTATAACTTAATTCAGCATTATTAGTGTGACTTTTATTTTGTTTTGTAGTACTGGCATTGAACCCAGGGATGATCTATCACTGAGCTACATTACCAGTCCTTTTTATTTTTATTTTTTGGTACCGGGGATTGAATTCAGGACTTTGTGCTGCCACTGAGCTAAATTCTCAGCCCAAGTCCTTTTTTATTTTGAGACAGGGTATTGTTAAATCATCCAGGCAGCTTCCTGAGTATCTGGGACTACAGGCATGAACCACTATGCCTAGCTGTGTGGTTTGTTCTATTTCAGTGATAAAATAAATGATTCAATCCCCAGCACCAATAAATGAATGAATGAATGAATGAATGAAAAAGTGCTGTATTTTAAACATTCCATTTGACGAAGGCTGATGTGCATGCATAGAAACTATCACACTTCACAAGTCTACAGATATTTTGAGGTCTTAGCATAAAATGGGCTGAGAAATGTGGCTTTGTGTCACCCTGGCTGTACCCCATCAGGCTGAGGAGTAAGAGCACAATGGCTGGCACAGCCTGGCAGGAACTCAGCCAGAGGTTTCTTGTGGGTCTGGTCTTTGAAGAAATTGGGTTTCCCTTAAAGCTCACCTGGAGGACAGTGTGGAGCCTGGTGAGGGTTGGTTGCTCTCTGAAGCCCTGTTCCCAGGGGAACTATGGTCGCTGTCACCATGGTTGCTCCAGTGATTGGCTTCTTCCTCAAACTCCTGCCCAGACATGATCCTTTCGATCTCCTCTTCTGATATCTTTGGGAAGGAATTAATACACGTTAGATCAGTGTTCAAGACACCCTCTGGTCCTTCTCCAATCTCACAGGATTCCCAGCACTCTCTAGAAAGAGCCCCAGATGCCCTCTCCTACACCCCCATACTCCAAGTCTCTTCCTAATCTTAGGAGAGTTTGGCTGCTTGCCGGTCAACACCATGGTCCATCATGGCCCTCCCCCTTGCCCATTTACCCCACCCACTCTCATGCCACAAAGTATGTATGGCCCTCAATACTCCTATTTGTCCTTAAGGCTACTCTTCTTAACCCTGAAACACCGTTCCTCAATGATAATCTCCTATTTGTCCTTTAAGACCCAATTCAAACATCATCTTAATGAAACTTTCAGATGGGGTGTGGTGGTACAGGCCTGAGATCCTAGTTCCTGGAAGGCTGAGGCAGGAGGAGTGCCACAAATTCCACATCAGTCTGGGCTACATAGTGAGTTCAAGGCTAGCCTGAACTACATAGCAAGACCTCACCAAAAAAAAGAAACTTTCTACTGCTACTTAAAATTTTAGGTCCTTCTTCTATCCACTCATAATTCTTTGCATTCTGGTAGAGGCAGAACAGTGTAGTGGCTGAGTATATAAATTCTGGTGTCAGACCACCTTTGTTCAAATCCATTTCTAGTTGTACAATACTGGGCAGGTCATCAAACTACTGAACCTAAATTCTTTCCTATGTATGGCAGAGAGAATAAGTCTCTTGTGAGGAGGATGCAATTAGTTAATATATATCAAATACTTAGAAAAGAATCTGGCACATAGAAACAAATATGGAAGGGCTAGTCAGGTATTTTGTTTGTTTGTTTGTTTTGTTTTTTGAAATAGGGTCTCTATGCTGTGTAGGCATGTCTTGAACTTCTGGGTTCATCAGATCCCCCTGCCTCAGGCTTCCAAGTAGCTGGGACTACAGATATGTGCCACCATGGTGGATATTGTTACTTTAATGGATTTTTGGCAAGGTATCATAAAAACAACCTCTACAAGATTGAAGGCCATGATAGGCTCTAGAAGAGAGGAAGTACTTAGTGAATGCACACTGAATAAACAAATTTTTGTTAAATACCAGCCACGTACCTTCATATCACTTTTTTTTAAGTAAGAAGGACATTCCTAAGCCTATGTAAATGAACGAGCTTGAACAGGTCAAACTGTGTCCATGTCTGGGCAAGAGTTTGAGGAAGGAGCTAAAGTTTGCAGGACTCGGTCTAGTTGTCTAGCTGCTACCATGCAGAATGAATAAACTTCAATAGAGTTTCTAACCTAGAGTTGAGGCCTAACTGACTACCCTCAACATACAGAAGAAGGACTGCTGAGAAGGAGGAGCCAGATGAATTTTTATGTATTGCTCCTGTGGAACCTCAGAGGATAACACGTCTGACTCAAGCCTGCACAATTCTTTGCTCCCGCAGCCTCTGAGGGAACCTGGGCTGCCCAGGTCATAAATACAGAACATTCAGAACTGGGAGCCAGCTAACACATAGGGCTTGGGAGGCTAACAATGCACTTAAATGGTGAATAAACTGAGTGGTTGGTTTTAAATGGCTTAGATTACATAGTAAATTGGAAGGATTGCTTTTTAAGTCACGTGTACCTTAAAAAAAAAAAAAAAGCAGCAGCAAAACAAAACTCCACTTTTTCTCTTAGCAGTCCCCAGAACTCTGAAATCACTGTTTGCAGCCTCAGAGATGGTGGTAAGAGCTGGATCAGAGATTGGGAGGCACAACGGATTAAGGCTGGGGGACGGGGCCGGTTCCGCTGACTCCAGCTGGGAGCTGCACCTGTCTTTCCCCATAAGTCCCTTGGGATACTGGGCAATCACCAATGATTGAATAGGGGAGCAAAACATTTCCAGGGCTTAAACCTGGGTTCAAATTTCCTTTGTCAAGTCCTAGCTGGGGGCTTTATTGAACAGGTCACTTAAGCTCTCTGAGCCTCAGCACCCTCATCTGTAAGATGGGAAACAATATCACTTCACTTCTAATCTCAGCACTCGGGAGGCTGAGGCAGGAGGATGGCTGTGAGTTCAAACCCAGCCTGGGCTACACAGTGAATTCAAAATAAATAAATAAATTTTTAAAATAAAATACACACACCCTGACTGAGTGCATATTGTGGACCAAGCTCATGTGATAGGACATTTCCCATATATCATCAGTGTTTATCTCTGGACTCCTGTCTTTCCTTCATTTGTTCATATTTAACTGGAGAAATGCTATCATTTAGCCTATTTACCATCTCTTGAATCTATTCCCACCTCTCAATCTGCACTGTCACTGCCCTACTTCAAACTATTGCCTGTATCTCTTGGACAGAACTTCTGCAAAACCCTTTTATCTGCTTTTTTTCCCCTGTCCATTTCACTTTTCATAAACCATTTCTACTACTAGAATGATTTTTTTTTTTTTTGGTACTAGGGATCGAACTTGGGTCCTTGTGCTTGTGAGGCAGGCGGCGGAACCACTGAGCTAAATCCCCGGCCCTAAAATGATTTTTATAAAATCTGACCATGGCCCTCTCCCTACCTAAACTTTTTTTTTTGGCGGTACCAGAGATCAAACTCAGGACTTTGTGCTTATGAGCCACTGAGCTAAATCCCCAGGTCCCTACCTAAAGACTTTTAATGGTTGCCTCTTGTTATGCAACCAAAAACTCTTAAGACACAGTGCTTGTGCCCTAGTGTGCTGAGGGATTCAACTGACTGGTCATAAGGGCCAGGGATGTAGCTCAGTGGTACCACGCCTGCCTCGTAAGCGCAGAGTCTTGAGTTCGATCCCCGGAACCGGAAAATAAAAAAATCAACTGATGGGTCATAAATAGATTCAACTCTCTATCTTCCCGAAGTCCTGCTGGCAGACAAGAACAAGTGGTGCAGGCCGGCCTCAGAGAAGCTTGACTTAGCCAAGCATGGTAGTGTGTGTCTGTAATCCCGGCTACTCTGGAAGATTAGACAGGAAAATATAAAATTCAAGGCCAGACTGGCAGCTTAGAAAGACCCCGTCTCACAAACAAAACAAAACAAAACAGCTAGGGATGTATCTCAGTGGCAGAGATAGCACTTGCCTAGCATACGCAAGGCCCTGGATTCAATCCCCAGCATTGTAAAAAAAAAACAAAAAAAAATTACATAGGGCTAGAGTCAAAGATAGTTAAAGGTCACTCTTTAGAGCACTGAGTCCAAAGTCAAGGAATCTGTCTTATCTGCCACTCCATGTGCCGAATGCTCCAGCTTCACTGAACAAACTCCTCGCTCCTGTCATCCCTTAAAGATTCATCTACAGTTATTCTGTCTAGCATGAATAAAATGTGGTTAGCTTCACATCCCTTCCCAGCACAGCTAATTCTTCCTCTTTCCTCAATTCTCAGTTCAAATACTGCCTTCTGAAGGAAGCCTCCTGCTCTGTCCTTCAACCTGTTACCCTCACTGTACTATGATACCTGTTTACCTATCTATCTCTCCCACTGGTCAGAGGTCAGAGCATAGAGTAGGCAGAGGAGGAGCTTAGTAAATATCTGTGAGATTGAGTCAGGAATTATCATTCCTACTCTACAAATAAAGTAATGAACCTTCTATTAATACATCTTTAGAAGAAATGAACAAAGTAGTCTTGTTGATTTCTGCCAGATGAAGTTATCTGGAATTTTAAGTGAAGGACAAAAAACCCCCAAAACCCCCCAGTTCAGAGCCAGAATTTGGCTCCCTGCCTATGAAACACTCAGGAAGGCCTGAGGGATCACAAGAAAAGCTTTAATTATTAGCTTCTACATTTGACATTTTCAGAACACTTTCATATCTGGGATCTAAAAGCAGTTTACCAGGAAGGAAAACAAAGGTGGCTTCCCCAGAAAGAGATGAAAGGGTCAGGGTGAGTAGGCCCAGGAACCTCTAAGGGCCCTGGGCTTCCAGGGTGGACAGAAAACTCACCTGGACTGGCCCGATGCTCTTATTCCGGCCTCCAGGCATGCCATCTTCTCTGATAGCTGGAAGAAACATAAGACAGAAGCAAACTCAGAAGTCTAAGCACAAAAAGAGAATGTATTTGGTTCAAAGTCTTTGGTAGTAATTGGGGAAGGTGAGATTAGAATACAAGTCTTTCTGGACCCACAGCACATACTCCTTCTATTACTACAGGCTTCTCACTGGCAGCAGGTACTCTGGGTCCCCAGGGCCCCAGGTACATATAACATACTCAGAACCCATGTACTATGTTCAATAAGGGCAATAGCAACCTTGCAAGTCTTCGTACCCCCATCTGCAAAATGAGGAACACAGTCTGCTTTGCAAGCCTGCTATGAATTTGTAGTGAAAAGCATACATGGCTTATATTAAGCTAGATTTATACTGGATATTATCTGGTAGCACTCTTTCAATCTAATTTCAAGTTGAAAATATCCTTAAAATCCCTTCCCTGCTGTTTTAGGATTCATGACAATCTTTAGATATTTCCATTTCCAATACTGACATCTCATATGTCTTTGCTCCAGCTCTCAACTATAAAACAAAGACCTATTAAGGCAGATACAACACTAAACATATTTCAACTGATACCTCTCTCTCACTATCCTAGAAATAGGATAGTGAGGAAGAAACTCAACCTGCTTTACTTTTTACTTTTAAGAACCAAAAACCTTAGACAGGAATGATGGCACATGCCTGTAATCCCAGTACTCAGGAGGCGGAGTCAGGAGGATCACCATGAGTTCAAGGCTAACCTAGGCTGCATAATGAGTTCAAGGCCAGCCTGGAATACATAGCAGGACCTGGTCTAAACAAAACAAACCAACCCCAAAACCATCCCAGAAAACCAAACAAATAAAAAAAAACAACAAAAACCTCAAACAATCAAAAATCTTAAAGATTTACATCTTACCAGCTTCTTGTTTTGAAATGTAAAAGGTCATGTTCTATTTCAACCCTACATTGAATAAGAAAACTAGCATATGATGAAGATGTGCTATGTGCTGGGTACTATTACCCTGGATAAAAACTCATGAGGAAAGTATTTGTATCATCGCCATTAAACAGCTGAACCTAAGGCTCAGAAAAATAAAGTATTTTGCTTAAGGAGACAAAAAATAAACACAAAAATCAGGATTGGATCTCAGATTATCACACTAAGACCAGTTTTCCTTCCCTCACCCATATTTCCCATACTGTGTATGAGTACTAACGGAGAATGTTCAATATGTTAGTGCATAGATAAACTCAATTATATATTTATTTTAGTGTGTGTTACAAATACTGATTTTTTTAATCCACTGAGATAATACATTTCCTTTGAAAACTAACTTGTATTTTCTTTTTGAAAAGTTGATTTAAAGAAAATAAGGCAAGGAGGGCTGGGGATTTAGCTCAGTGGTTCTGCCACCTGCCTCGCAAGTGCAAGGTCCTGAGTTCGATCCCTGATACCAAATTAAAAGAAAATAAGACAGGGCTGGGGATTTAGCTCAGTGGTTTCACTGCCTGCTGCGCAAGCGCAAGGACCTGAGTTCAATCCCTGGTACCAAGAGAAAAAAAAAAAAAAGAAAAGAAGACAAATAATGGTACTGATTTAACCAGAGATGATAAAATCTGTCAGGGTGGTATGAAATTGCCTGAAGAGTGGGGAAAAAATACACTGTGTCACAGTGCATCTGTCAAAACAAACACCTGCATCATATTTTAAAGCTTACAATACACTTGCACACAGGCTGTTTCTTTTGACCCTTTTAACAACCTCAAAAAGTATACATTATTACTATCCTGTGAGGGACAGCCATGTTCAAGGTTACTCAGGGAAGAACAGACTGTGCTGAGATTTCAACCTAGCTGTGCCAAGCATCTTTCTGGCAATGATCTGATTAACATGAGCAAGTGGCTTCTGGGTGCAGCACTCCAGGAGTGGTTCTGCTGCATCTTATCCAAGCTAAGAAAGTGGCACCTGCTATGGCTCTTCAATCTGCTCAAAAGCAGGCAAATACTTTTTCTGCTCTGCAACTCATGTGCCTACCATTCTTCACCTGCTTGGTCCTGGGTGGACAACCAAACACAGAAACCAAAAGCATGAGTAAGATGCGAAGCTGACAACATCAGGGCCCTGCTTACAACTGTTCTCTCCAGCACTTGAGAGACAGGCAGGAGGATTGCCTTGAGTTTGAGGCCACCCTGGGCTACATAGTGAGTTCAAAGCCAGACTGAGCTGCACACAGAGACCCTGTCTCCAAAAAACAAACAAACAAAAAACCCTGCTCTCCAAAACATGTATCATCACAACCAGCTTTTTAATCCAGATTTTTTTATTAGTACATGTTTGCAGTATATAATGATTACATTCCTTGTCAGCAGTTGGTACATGTTTGTAACAGATCTTCTTTCTTATCCCCTTCTCCTCCCCTCTCATATCCCTTCATCTCTTGGTCCTCTTCCCTTTTACAAAAGTTCTATCTCTTCTTGTAATGGTAAGGAAGAATTATTTTATTGTCCAAGTTATTCCAACTTTGGGCACTGAAAATTCTTCCAGGTTGGGTTCTGTGCCCTTTCGATATGCTTCCTTCTACAAATTAATTATATTAATTAATGAGCAGCACCGGGGATTGAATTCAGGACTTTGTGCATCCTCTACCACTGAGCATATCCAGCCCCTATTTCACTCTTTTATTTTTGGGGGGTACCGGAGATCGAACTCAGGACCTTGAGCTTGCAAGGCGGGCACGGTGCCACTGAACTAAATCTCCAGCCCTTTAATTCTATTTTGAGACAGGGTCTCACTAAGTTGCCCAGCCTTGCCTTGAACTTGTGGTCCTCCTGCCTTAGCACTCTGAGAAGCTGGAATTACAGATGTGCATCACCATGCTGGCTTCCAAGCTCATTTATTTTCGCTGTCCCAGTCCTAGAATCCATCAGTTCTCAAGGAGTCCTGACTCCTTTAATTGATATTTAGAAACAAAGATATTGGTGCTAGGTGTGTTCACTGCTGCTAGGGCATGATCATTTCTAGTCCCTTGCAATGGCTAGAGCTTGGAAATACATATAAGTGCACTAACTCACGTACCCCCACACGTCTACCTAAACACGAGCCCATATTGGCACTACTGATACCAGTTCAGCACCTAAGGTTTCATTCTACCCTTCCCCTTTCCTAATTTATAACTTCTCTGATGTGTAAAACCTGACTCTCATTATTTACAATACATTTACCTACTTGTTCAACCACAGTATGCATTTAAAGTAGGGCCAGAATTTCCAACATACAACCTTGAGAGAAAAAAATTTAACAAACTAGAGTGCTTTGTTTATGTGCAATTCTTTTTGTCTTCACCCTTATAATATACAGTCAAAACACTGTTTCCCAAGGTCAGCTGCTTCAGTGTGGTGAGATGACTCGCAGTAACACCAATTAAGAGTCAATTGTCACAGCGTGCATTCCATCTCTCCTTCCCCTGCCCTCCTCCTACCACATTCTTGTTGATTAAAAAAGGGATTTTACATACAGTAAAATTCCTTTTTTGTGGTATATAGTTCTATGGACTTTGGGAAATGTACAAATTTACGTATTGGCCACTACAGTTTCATACAGAATATTTCTCACCTCCCAAATATTCCCATGGCAACTGTAATTTTAATCATGCTTTTCCAGCAACAACCAGAAGGTGGCAGGGTTTCTCTCCAAAGGCAGCCTTCATCAGGCACTCAGCCTGCCTTCTCTGATGCAAACAGACAGACCTCTGCCCCTCAGACTCCATGAGTCATCTTCTGGCTATGGTTAGAGGAGTTAGAAGGTTAAGTTTCTTCTTCCCTAAAACAAATGAGTTTGGCTGGAAGCCTCAAAATCTCACACTCCAACTGAAAAAGCAGGCAGATTCCTCAGAGAAAGCAGTCAAGAAGGCATCTCACAACTATGTTTTGAACAAAATACTCAGTGAGGGCAACAAAGAGAGAGGACAACAGTAGGGGACAAGAAGAAATCAAGGTGAGGGTAGAAAGACAACCAGACAGGGGCTGGGGATTTAGTTCGGTGGTTCCACCGCCTGCCTCGCAAACGCAAGGACCCGAGTTCGATCCCCAGTACCAAAAAAAAAAAAAGAAAGACAACCAGACTCTCTTTTCATGGCAGTGCTGGTTTCATAATGGAGGCTAGGAAAGACTTCTGTGGGAGAAAGGTGATAGTGGGGAAGGGAAAGGGCTCCTGGGTAGAGAGAGCAAGGAACCTGAGCACAGGCAGAATAGCTAATGCAGCCTTCAGGCTGTGTTCTGCCAGAAGAGAGGTTGGAAAGGAGCAGAGGACAAACTTGCTAACACCTCAAATGCTAAGGTATTTTTTAGTAACCAGTAAACACAGGGCACTCTGACATGCAAATAGCTGTGCCACAGGGCAGACATGTGAAGCAATACAAGTTCTGGTTGATTACTAACAAATTATAATGTTAAAAATATTGTCATCATAACTACCCTTAAGCTAACTACCAGTAAGTGATTTTACCTTCCCAAGCTGCATTCGTAAGCTGGGAATAAAAGTCAACAGCAGGTTTATTGTGTGTATTCAATGATATAATGTATGGAAAGAACATATGAGTTTCTGGTACATGTAAGTGTTCAATAAATATTACTATTATAAAAAATTAAAAACCACTTACATTTATCTAAATGCCCTCCATACCCCTTATCTTTCTCATAATGGGCAAGTTTTTAAAAGATCTTTTTCATCCCTCACACAGTAAAATCAGCCTAAAGTACTTTGCAAGTCTACATTCATTAATGCTACAAAACCAGTTTGAATAGTTCACAAGTCTAACTTCCCAGCCTTGCACACTGCTGCTGTCAACCGCCAATACTTTGCTCTATATTTTATGCACTTTATCATTTCACTCCCTAGAGAACTCTGAAAAGTAAGTAATATCATACTGTTTTTAAAGGTAAGATCACTGAGTGTCAGGGACATAAAACAAACTTCCAAGGCCACAGAGCAGTCTCCCTACCTCTAGATTCTCTGTTCTTTCTACCAAATGGTACTGCCTATTCCCCTCTCTCCAAGGAAACACAGCTCAGATTCTGGCATAAGCAGCTCATTCTTCCGTATCCAAGCTCTCAGTGGGGGTACCCCAATTCTACCTCCATGCCAGCAGCTCCACAAACTTCAATTTGCAGGCAGGACTTTTCACCCCAGTTCCAATTCTATACATTCAACTTCTTGCTGCCAATCTCTGCCTGGGGGTACCTCAACTCAGCACAGCCAATGTCAAGAGTGCACCTTGCACTCTCTTTAAGCCTTTTCCCCTGCTTGTCATTACTCTTAACTCAAATCCTCAATTCCAACTTCTGGTGCTGGCCAAAACTCAGTGTGGTTCCAATCTCATCAGGTGAGCTTCTTCCACACCTCCTGCCCATGCCATGCTATTGTCTTTCCCCTCCTCCAGATCCTCCACACCTTCCTTCTGGGTTCTTCTAAAAACTTCCAAGGTGAGGCAGGCCTGGTGGTGCTCAACTGTAATCCCAGCAATCGGGAAGCTGAGGCAGAAGGATCGCCTTGAGTTCGAGGAGCCGAGCCTGTGCTACATAGTGAGTTCAAGGCCAGCTTGAACTACAAAGGGAGACTCTGACTCAAAACAAACAAACAAACAAACAAACAACCCCCCCCCCAAACTTCCAGGTGGCTTTTCTGCTTCTCCTAACCCAATCCACCCTTCAAAACTGCCTACCATATTAATCTTATTACAACATCAGTTTATTTATCTCAGAAAGCTCCCAAAATACCTGCATGCTCATGTTTACTGCAGCCTAATTCACAACATCCAAGATGTAAAAGAAGCTTAGGTGCCCACCAATAGATGAATGGATAAAGAATATGTGGTATAAATACAAAAGGGAGTATTATTCAGCTATAAAGAATAAAGTTATGCCATTTGCAGGAAAATTGATGGGACTGGAAATCATCATGTTAAGTGAAATAAGTCAGACTCAGGAAGACAAGTATTACATGTTTTTCTCACCCCCAAAGGCATGAAAGTAGAAGGGAGACTACTACTAGACAAGAGGAAGGTGGAGGTAGTGTAAGGGAGGGTAACAGAGGAGTGGATATAATCAAAATGTTATATGTATGTATGACAATACTACAATTTTGTTTTTGGTACCGGGGATCAAACTAAGGACCTTGCACTTGCGAGGCAGGTGCAGTGCTAACTGAGCTAAATCCCCGGCCCAATACCACTATTTTAAAAAAATGTTTCCCAACAAACCCCAAACTCTTTGTGAACCTGGACACAGATTTTTGAGCATACCTAGCCTCAGAGTATGCCATACTTCTAGTAAACAAAATGGTATCATTCAGAGAATTTCCTGGCTTTCTATCTAAAATTTCTAATTCCTACTATCATCCCTTAAAAAACTGGTGGTGTACATTAATCCCAGTCAGGACCTGATTTTCTTTTTTTCCGGTACCAGGAATCAAACTCAGGATCTTACACTAGCCAGGCAGGCGCGGCACTGAGCTACATCTCTGGCCCTTAGGACCTGACTGTTAACTGATGTCTCACCACACAGGACCTATGCATTCACTCCCATAGAATCCTTAACATCTCACCAGTCTTTCTTCCCACCTAAACTGGGTTGTGAACACACAGTACAAGGCCTGGAGCACAGTGCCAGCCTGGGAACTGAATAACTCCAAAGCACAGCAGCTGACACTAAAGGCCATAACAGGTGAAGAGTGGGCAGTAAAAGCCTTGAGCACCACTCACCCTTCCGGTTCATCCCCATCTGGAGGCATTTGAGTAGGCGGCAGTACTGGCACCTGTTCCTCTGCTTCCGAGACATGACACAGTTCTTGTCACGACTGCACCGATACACCCGTTTGTTGCAAATGCTCCGCTTGAAAAACCCTTTGCAGCCTTCACAGGAGATGATTCCATAGTGCAAGCCTGTGGCACGGTCCCCGCAAATGAGACAGGTTCGTTGTTCAGCCCGATCATCTGGAACAGAAACTGAACATATTCAAATTAGAGCACAGTGGAATAAAAATAAGCAATCCTGCTCTGGATGAGCAAGAACACCACCATCTTCAGGCTAACTGGCTTTTGGGGGGGTGCATCTCTGGAAACTGTGCCCCAGGACAGACCCCTGTTATCTACCTGTAGATATCATAAACATTATTTATCCTAAAAATAAATGAGTAAGCAAACAAACACACACCTTCACCTGGGTTTCACTGTCACTTGGAGCAGTATCCAAGTCAGAAACCTAGGAAAAATTTGACTCCTCCCTCTCCCTTCCCTTTCTCATCCACAGCACATCAAAGTTACCCTGTAGGAAGGTAGTAAGAATTACTGACAATATACAAGCATTCAACACACAGTATACATAGTCTACATCCGGTAAATTTTAGCTGGAATTATTAACAAGTGAAGAAGTTTAAATCATGCCCTAAGCTAGCCAGTAAGCCAGACAACAGATATTTATTAAGCAAGTATTTTATTCTGGGCATTCTTTTAAGGCATGAATATGCTGTGAATAGAAGTCTGTGGCAGGGTTGGGAATGAAGAATAATGGTAGAACACTTGCCTAGCCTGCTTGAGGCCCTAGCCTGTATCCTCAGCACTGCAGAGGGAGGGAGGGAGGTCAGGCTAACCAGAAGGCTGGGAGTCCATCCCTGGTACATTTTACATTTTAGCACAACATCACCAAAATCACCAGTACAAAAATTTACAGGAAAGGTTTTGATCAGAGGCTAAGGCAGGAAACCAGAGATTTGAACATTATTCCTGAATAAGAAGCAAGGTGTAATGGTTGAAAACTTTTAATTATCCTGATTTGATAATGACATTCTGGTAAAGAAAAGCATTTATTATTTATTTATTTATTTATTTTTAAATAATTTGGGTTTTTTTGTTTGTTTTGTTTTTGGTACCAGGGATCGAACTCGGATCGAACTCGGGTCTTTGCGCTTTCGAGGCAGGCGACGGAACCACTGGGCTAAATCCCCGGCCCAAGAAAAGCATTTAAAGGGAATGTTAAAGGAGGACCACGGTGACACAGGTAAGAGGGATGGAGAGAAGGAAGGAAGCTTGCATTTATGAAGTCCTTATTATATGCAAGCTTTGAGATAGACAAGTCTTGAGGGTCACCATTTTTGTTGTTGTTTTGTTTTTGTTTTGGTACCAGGGATTGAACTCGGGTCCTTGGGCTTGCACAGTAGGCTGTGAAACCACTGAGCTAAATCCCCAGCCCTAGGGTCACCATTTGGTAAGCTGAATAACTGCCACCTACAGATACTAGGTCCTAATCACTAGAAACTGTAAATGCTATGTGATAAAGAAAAAAGAGTCTTTTGAGTTGAGATTATTCTGTATTATATGAGTGGGATTAAATGCAATCACAAGTGTCTTTATAAAAAATAGGAAGATTTGATAATGATAGAGAAGACATACACCCACATAGAGGAGATGATATGAAGAGAGGGGCAGGAGCTCAAGGAATGCCAGCAACCACCAAAAGTTGGAAGGGGAAAGGAACAGATTCTCTCTAGAGCTTCTAAAGGAGGTACTGCTCTGCCAACATATTCATTTCAGCCTAGTAATACTGATTTTTTACTTTCCTGCTTCCAGAGGAGTAAGAAAATAAATTTCTGTTGCTTTAAGGCACTCAGTTTGTGGGAGTTTTACAGCTACACAGGTAACAACATGTTTTGCATACAGGCAAACATTCACATTAAGACTTGTCCAAAATGGTAGTACACGCCTATAATCTCAGCTGTCTGGGTGGCTGAGGCAGTAGGATCTCAGTTTGCACCCAGCCTGGGCAACTCAGCAGCTTAGTGAGACCCTGTTTCTAAATGAAAAAAATTAAAAAGGCTGGGAGTGTGGCGCAGAGTGAAGGCCCTGGGTTCGTCCCCAGTGGTGGTGGGGGGTGGGGGGGTGGGCGGACAACAGCGGGACACTTGTCCCAAGACACACTACAGGGAGAATCAGATATATGAGACTCTGAGATGACACAAACAAGGAAACAGAATGACAGATGGGGGAAGAGGGACTGCCTAGATTCTTGAACACTCTGCAGTTCCTGTCACAGACCTTGCTAAGGCTTAGATGCACTTAACTGTGAGCAAATAGCAAATTAATAAGTTGTGACAAATTGAAATTTCCATGTTCTTGTAATACACACTTTGTTATTTGCTATTAAAACACCCCTCTACTTTTAAAAAGGAAAAAGAAAAATAACTTATAAAAATGGTCCTGGTATAATAAATATTCCATACTTTTGAAAACATAAAGAAAGCTCAAAGTAAACATTAGAGTAAATCAACAACAAAATTTAAAAATTAAACCAGGTGAAGTCAAACAGGAAAAATGAATGGCATAAAAACAGGATGCCCTGTGTTTAGGATGAGATTTCCTGGAGTGCTGGGCTCTGGCTGCTTAAAAGCCTTGGAAATAGCATGGAATAGTGTTAGAAAATCATGATCAGCTACAGAAGAGTTTCAATTTTCTAATTTTAAATTAAAACCAATATTTTAGGTTGGGAGGATGGCTCAGTGGTAGAGCATCTGGTTAGCTTGCATGCAGGAGGCCCTGGATGCAAACCCCAATAACTACAAACAAAAGAAAACCCACTCAATCTTCTATTAGATATAGAATATAAACCAGGACCTGACTAGAATAGACTTGAAATAGTTATAAATAATGGATATCTATATGGAACACACCTTCTTTTCTTCAGTGATAGGATTTTAGTGAGCACCTACCACAACCAGATAGGCTTTACTTCACTGACTCATGTGATCCTCAAAACTCAACAAGTGAGTGCAATTGTTATCACCATTTCCTCAGTGATAAATAGAGGCTCAAAAACACTTACCCAGCTTGTCCACCTACAAGTGCTGACCCTGGACACTAACCAATGTTGGAACTGGAGTTCAATAATCTCTTCATAAAGCATTCCAGTTATATGGCATTCTGTGCAGCTCCTGGGATCATGAAAAAAGGATCCATGGACAACAATCAAATGCAGACCTGCTAAGAATATGCACATGTCTTGGAACACTGCTTTTTTTTTTCATGATAGCTTAAAAAGGTCACATTGAGATCCAAGACAACTGGAGCATATTTCTCCAGCAGTGAACACATGGAGCAGCCTTGAATGCGCTGTCTGACTGCTCCCGTTTGGCCACAGCAATTCTTGTTGCCATGCTCTGGTTTTTGTTTTTTGTATCTCTGTGGATTGAACCTAGCACCCTCTCACTGAACTACATCTCTGTATCTCCTTTTTGAGACAAGGTCTTGCTAAATTAAAAATTGCTCAGGCTGAGTTTGAACTTGTGATCCTTCTGCTTCAATATCCCAGAGTGCTGGGATTACAGGTGTGTGTCCCCATACCTGGTTCATGTTGTTTTTGTTTTTTTAAACAACACTGGCCTATGCCATAGACCATGGACTCATTCATAAAGGAGCTTCTCAAAGGTATGAAAGAAAGGCTCTCTCCAGACCAATCTCATACCCTTCAAGGAAGCATTTGGAAAATTTCTCTTACAGCATGTAGAAAAATAGTAATAACAGGGACAGCTATTGTTAACTGAATACTTAGGGGCTGGCTTTGGCCAAATGCTTACAATTATGCTGAATCACTACCAAACAATCTCCCATGAGGCGGTATCACTCCCTAATAATCACCTGCTAGGTAAGGGAGGAAGCTTGGGCTGGAGCCCCAAAGTCTACATTCCTGTTACATTCTTTGGCCACAGCAAGGGGAATCTACATGCAGGTGAGTCAGGCCTTTCCCTCTGACCACTCAACTACTCACCCACCCACCTAACCCAAAAAGCCAAGGTCTCCCTTGGTAAATGAACAAACTGATAAAGGAAAATGCCCCTAATGGTACCTGGTCAGATAAGAGAGGTAGATCCTTGAAAAGGACTTGAAGGGTATTTAAACCATGTTTACATTCATTATCTCATTTGTACCAGGTCAAGGTAAGGATTACTTTTATTGTATAGATAAGGCAGTGAGCACCAACTGTGTACTATGCAGTGTGCATGAAGTTTTCACATGCACTGTTTATTCTCACCGTAACTGTGAGTTATTATTTCTCCCATATTACTGGATCTGAAATCTTAAAAGAGTTAGAAAGGGCCTTTGAAATTACTTTGAACACCCTTCACTGCAGGCAGGAATTCAATCTACAATATTCCAAGTCAAGGGTTGCCCCTACACCCCTTACTTGTACATCTCTACTGGCTCATAAGGCACCCTAGGCCCATTCATCTAGTTTTAGACAGGTCAGGGCCAGGATTTAGCTCAGTGGCACCGCGCCCCACCTGCCTTACAAGTGTAAAGTCCAGAGTTCGATCCCTGGTACCAAAACAAACAAACAAACAAACAAACAAACAAACCAGAAGCATAGTTTTAAACAGATCTAATGGTTCAAAAGTTTTCCTTTAAATTTACACTGAGCCAAACTTGAAATTTACCCATTGCCCTAAGTAACATTCTCATGGCCAAAAACAAACACCAACCCCCCTATGCACAAACAACCCCCCCAAACAACAACCAAAACCACAATGTAACATTTCATATAAAAACCATTCAGAGGGCCGGGGATTTAGCTCAGTGGTTCTGCCACCTGCCTTGCAAGCGCAAGGACCCGAATTCGATCCCTGGTACCAAAAAAACAAAACAAAACAAAAAACCCCCCAAAAAACCCATTCAGAGATTTAAAGATATTACTGAGGTTTCTAATTGTGATTATTTCCTTCACTCATTTTTAAATTTTTAATCATACAGTGTCAAATCTCTTCAAAGTATCCAAAACTGAATAGCTTGTTTTTCTTAATATAGCTTAAGACCAAATTAATTTATATTTTTTGTAGCTACTAGTACCAGAAAGCACATAAATTTTATCATTACTGAAAAATCTGTGACATGATACTTGTTTTGTAAAGGGAAAACTGAAGCTCAAAAAAAAAAAAGCAATTTACTCTTCATCACATGAT